TCTCAGTGAAACAGAGGATGATCACCCCCACAACCCATGGGGTTTCCTGATCTCCCTACCACTTTCCTGGGGAAACTTATTAATGACTTTCCTAACAATCCTTGTTCTGGAGTTGCTTTCTGGGGAAGGTGACCACTTGAGAATTGTGTGGTTTTCGTGTGTGTGATGTTCCCGTTGCTTTTCTCCACCTTTGAAACTTCCCTTTAATGCACATGTATGAGATGTAGAAAAATGCTACCTTTAAAAAGGTGTTTATGGAGAGCTATATCTGCAAGCAAGGAGAGCCCCTCCCTTCCCCCCATATCTGGGAATGCTCAGAGAGCTTTCTGTAGACCTGAATCTTGTTGCCTGGAAGACCAGAGTGGAGGGAAGAGACAGCAGAGTGCAGAGACACACAAGCTACCAGAAATCCCAGGCTCTGCCTCCTTTAAGAGATTGGGAAAAGAGCTCCAGAAAAGAGAGATAATTTTCCCAAGATCTCACAGGGACAAGGAGGGCTGGCATCTCCTGGCTCCCTCTCTGTCAGTGCTCAGGCTGGGGATGAGCTGGCCCCAGTGTAAGGCAGGCCCTTCTGCTGGCTCCCTGGAGCCAGGGAAGCATTGCCATGAAGCAGGATGGAGAAGGGAGGAAGTGGGGTGGGGTAGCACCGTGTAGACAGCACAGGTCACAGTAGTCAGTGGAAAGGACCGAAAGGGGGAGGAGGGCAAGGCAGCCTCAGAGAACCTGCCTTTGGCACTTTGCCTATATTGACAGCTGCCTCTGGGGTTACACACACACACACACACACACACACACACACACACACCACACCACCACCACCACCATGCACATACATACATACATAGATGCCTCTGGGGTTATCCCAACACACACAAACACACACACACACACACCACAGACACACAAATCACCACATACACACACACCACAGATACACTAATCACCACATACACATATACACACACACACACACATACACATGATACACAAACACCCCCATATACACACCACACATACACCACACACTCACCACATATATAACCCCCACCACACACCAGACACACACACATACCACATACATATACACTCATACACCATACACACCACAGATACACACAGACACACCACACACATATACACACATAACACACAAACACCCCCATGCATACCACACACACAAATACACACACACAACATACAAATACCCCCATACATATACCACACACACAAATATCCCCATATACACACTACACACACATACCACACATATACCACTCACACAACCCCCACCACACACCAGACACACTAGACACACTAGACACACACATCACACACACACACACACACACACACACACACACACACACACACACACCCCTCTAGGTTAGCAGGGAATTTACTGGATGACTCAGGGTGGGAAGGGTGGCAAAGCCAGAGGAGAAGATGGATGTGGTGGCCAGGGAGGCTCATGGCAGGCTCACTACTCCATTGCCCTGAGGGGCTGCAGCCCTGCCACGCCAGCGCCTTTCATGTCCAGATGTCAAGAATCGACTATGCAGATGACAGTGTCCACCTCAGATTGCAGCTGTCGTGGGGGACCTTCTAAATTTGGCTTTGCCCACAACTTGTTGCAGAAGATCCTGGGTGTGGTGGTTGTTAAGGGGAATTGGCGTAGGTGAATTTCGGGAACTCTATGTAAACAGAAATGAACTATCCAGCTTTCAAAACTGCAAGCCTTCCCTTTCCGGAGTCTGCTTGTTCTAATGACCTGGCCTTCTGGGGGCGGTGGGGAAAAACGTGTCGGTCTGTCAGTGTGAGAGGAACGGGAGAGGGGCGGAATGTAGCTTGGCTGCAATGTGGCCAGGCTTTCAATACTTCTGGCTGCTTTCAGCAGGAGGAAAGATGGTGCGGTTTGTGAACCCGAGAGACACAGCTGAACAGGAAGTATAGGCCAGCTGAACTCTTGCTGAACAGGAGGATGCTGCCAGGTGCCTCAGGGCCAGGCTGCTTTCTGTCCGGAGTTTCTGCACAGGGCTGCCAGACCCTCCAACAGGAGACAAGAGGGCAGATGTGTGTATATACTTGTGCACATGGGCATGGGCACACAGAGACGCCCAGCATCCGTAAGGACAGTTTCTCTCCTTATTTTATGACCCTCATGGGGACTGTTGCTAACCCCTAAAGTGGGAATGACAGCGTATAGGGCAAAGCTAGAGTCCTCACATCGCTGTCAGAAAGCGCCCCAGCTTTCCTGATTCTCTTAGGAGGATAGGGGCTGTAGACTGCAGGAGCCCTCAAATCTCCAAGCCAGGGACAACACGTCAATTCTTAAAGTTACTCTTTGGGGATGTAGCTGTCGTCAGGGTTCTGAGAAGTCTTCTTGAGCACTGTGGTCTAGGAATCATATAGTGTAGAGGTAAGAGAATAGTCTGGGCCACTTGCCCTTCGGGGGTGTGTGTGAAGCCTGGCTCTACCTGGCTCTAGGATACCATAATGGGACCCTAGCCAAGTTGATTGATTCCTCTCTGACTCAGTCTCATCTGTAGAATGGGTATAATGCAGGGCTCTCTTCAGAACTGGGTGAATTTCTTTTTCTCCAGAGTCTTGAGGGCAGAAGCATATAAAAGGGGCCCAAGGCTGTGGCTGGGGTGCCCCACCTTGCAGTAGTACACACTCTACCTTTGATCTGTTTTACACCCTGGGATGTTGCAAAGAATTTGGTTTAACAAGGTTGGCAGCTAAAAATGGCACACAGAAGCCACAGTGATCAGGCTCTTGAGAAACAGGTGGGTGGGGGAGGTGAGGGGATGCAGAGAGGGCTGCGGTCAGGAAGCCTGAAGTCCAGGGGTCCAGCCTGAACCTCACTGATGCCAGCCACTCCTGTGACCTGATGTGAGTGTGCCCCGAGGGAAGACACTGGCCTGACCGGGCTCATTAGCACATGAATAGAGTCTGCCATACAGGGAAGCGACTGTGACAACTTCCTGGGACATACCAGGAAACCGTATCTCTGTCACTCAACATGTTCTCTAAAGATCCAAGGGACCTAACTCCTCTGTTGTATCCACCTGGACAGGTATTCATTCACCTTTTTTTTTTTTTTTTGGTTTTCTGAGAAGCCCTGGCTGTCCTGGAACTCACTCTGTAGACCAGGCTGGCCTCGAACTCAGAAATCCACCTGCCTCTGCCTCCCAAGTGCTGGGATTAAAAGCGTGCGCTACCACTGCCTAGCTTCATTCACTCTTTAAGGGATGTGCCGGGTAGCTTGTCAGGAGCCAGCTCTCTCTCCTGCCTCCTCCAAGATCCTAGCAAGGAGCTAGGAACTCAGAGCTGGCCCAGCTCTGACAGATCTGGGTGGGGCTCAGACTCTGGTTGGAGACATCCATCCTTAGCATGTGGGGAAGTATCCCGGAGTGACTTGAGCGACAGCTGACCAGGTATATCCTGCTCGGTGTTTCCAGTCCTAGGAAACAGCGGGTTGCGATGAGCTGATAAGTTCAGCTGACTCAGCCACACTCAGGCTTGGGTACACGTCCCTGCCTGATGAATTCCCACCTTCCTCCACAACAGGGACCTCTGGGCCCTGACTCACTTCCTGTGGTTTTAGGGGAAGGGGCTACGGGCTGCTACGTGTGTATGGAGGATGAGGAGGGGTGCACATAAACAGCACAGACAGGAGGCAGACCTCTGTGTGTGAGACCATTAGAGAAGGTCCTCTGGCCTCGGCTGCCTACTGAGGGTGTGTATGAAGAATGCATTTCATAGGGCAGCTGGGAATGGGGTGGGAGAATTTTAGAAACGGTTTCAAGAGAAACAGCGTTGAACTTGGACCCAACATACACAGATAGTCTCAAGTCTGCTCCTGCCTTTGGACATTTCTCTGTGACTCTTATTTCTTCATCTGCAAAACAATATTGCTGTCTATTCCTCCAAGGTTATGTCTAGGGGGGGTTGCATTGTGGAGAGCTGGGTAGATATAAGGGATAGATGGGTGATGATTCGTCTTCCCTCCCTTAGGACAGACATGAGTGTCACAGATCCCCTTCCTCAAGCAGAAACCATGGCACGGAGCAAAAGGACGAATCCACGATCCCCGGCTGGGCTGGCCCCTTGGCCTCCTCACCAAATTCCTTGCTCTGCCGGTCAATCAGTGGTGATTCTGCGACACCCCCCCCCAAGGCCTCAGTGTGTGTTCTCACCCTGACAGAGCTCCGCATGGGCCCCAGGTCGTGGTTGTAGGCTTCTACCATCAGCACATGGGATGAGTTCCGTTCCCTGTCCAGGGGCCTTGGGCCTCGCATCAGGAGCCCGCTGCTGACATGGATGCGGAAGTTGTTGCCATGGTTACCTGTGGAGGGGCACATGAGATGCATGGCGTCTCTCCTCTCCTCCACACTCTCCTGGCATGGCCAATCTCCTCCTTCCCTTCTTGCTCCTGGTCCCAAGCCCAGGAAAGCCTAAAATCCCACCTCTGTCTGTCCTCCCCAGCTATTGGCGATTGGCATCTTTATTTACCAATGAGAACCAACTGGGGGCGGGTTCCCAGAAGCTACATGCAGACCCTCTCATGCAAATCCTTCATTTGGAGACACAAATTAGCATTAGAATACAAGGAGTTACATCTCCCTCTTTCTGTCCAATCAAAAAGGCTCTTTTCTCTCAGATACACATTGAACATAATTATAACAATTACGTAAATTGTAAGGATTGACAAACACTTATAACATCTAGTCTATCATGTTTGGCAACGTAGATAAAGTATTCTATCATCTATCCTAAGATAGATGTACCTCAATTCTGTACCTCAGTTATGTTTGATTTTAACTTGTATCACCAGCTGAAAACCATCCCTTTACAGGGACCCTTCACTTTGGGTTCCTGGAGTTCCCAAAGCCCACAGTGGCCTAACAGCGGGGGACATGGAACTGAAGTTCACCTGCCTCTTCCTTATATGACGCCTAGGGTCTAATCCCTATCTCCACACTTCCACTTCTTAGTGGGAATACAGAAGCTTCAGGAGAACCCAGACCCTGCTGTCTGCGGGTGAGTGAATCTAGGATGTAGTGGACCTCACTGGGCTGGGTTGGTCCCCATGATCTTGATTTCTCTCCATGGACACACTTATCCACACTCGGTCCCTGGAGTTCATGCAGGGTGGCTGCACTCCTGATCCAGAAGCCAGGAGGGGAGTGGTGGTTCATGCTCTGGCTGAGGTGAACGGCTCAGGGAAGGGCTCGGGTTTCTAGTTGGACCAAGGAGAGTGAATGACCAGTGATTTTCCCAGGGGCTGTCTAAGGTCCTCTCTGTCATGGAGTCAGCTCTGAGAACACTGTAGCCTGTGGAGCCCTTAGGTACAAGGCCAGCATACCGTTCTTTGCTTAGAATATATTCAACTTAGTGTAAAAGATCAGGAAACCCCCTTTCTCCCTGAGCTGCAGCCCGTGTATATGGTGCTTGGGCATCTTCTCTGCTCAGCCAAAAAAAGAAGTGATATCTCTGCAGGGCAGTGGCCATCCCTATCCCATAGCAGCCCACTTACCATGGAGGATGCGGTACCAGACGCGCCCAAACTCGCCCTCGTCTGCATCTGTGGCTTTCAGCTGAAGGAGAAGAGACAGTGGGGTTATTCCTAACTCCAAGGCAGGGAGGGGAGCTGTCCTTGCAGTCCCCATAACTGACCTGGGATGGGGGAGGGAGGCATGTGAGACATTACGTCATCACTCTCTGGCCCAGGCTGAAGGAGGCCACTCCGTATCTCTATGACCCCCTCCCAGTGACGCTCTTGATGTCTTAGGACCATCATGAGGGTGACTGAAGCAGGTGCTGCATCACTGAGAAGCCTACCCTCGCATGGGTGGTGATGTTTAAAAGTTGTGTCCCTGGAGCTCCCCGACCAATGTGCAGACAGTTCTACTGAAGAGTTTTCCATGATCCGTAAGTAACCTATGCTCCTATAAACTTATCGGTTCACTAGGGTAGCACTGGGTGGAATCATTTGTGCTTATCATTAGTGCCCTGTGTGGGGTGAGATGTTGGTATATACCACCCTGGGGAAAGTTTTGCAATAGAATTGGTACTTATTGTGATTTGAATGTGGAATATTCCTCTGTTGCCTTACTAATTAAGGCTGAAGTCTACTGTTGACTGATAGCCTTCTGGGGCTCAGTCCCCTGCAATATGGAGGACTCCCTTCATGGGCAGGGCTTCCCCTTCTCTGACCTTGCCTGGGGAGTTCAACCCCCCCCCATTACCTCTACCTTCAGAATGTCACGTAGCCTTAGTTAGATTACAGATTCAACTTCCGTTAACCTAGTCAGAACCTGTTCACTTAGCAGCTGAGATTCCTGAGATGCTTCCCCATGCTAATGAGGCATTTTGGTACCCTAAGCCCTCAGCCATTGCCCTCGGCCCATCATGGATGTTTCTACCCCCAATTCCCCAAAGCCTTGAATCACCCCAAGTAAAGCTGATCTGACTCGCTGCAGGTGGTCCTGGTGTGTCATATTCTATATGTATTCACAGGACTTTGTCTCTAGATGGTGACACTGTTTGGGAAGGTTGTGGAACCTTCAGGAGGCAATGCCTTACCCTGGAAGAAGTGGGCCACTGGGGACTGGACTTGAGGCTGTATAGCCTGTCTCTACTTCCCATTCACTCTCTGCCGGGGTCTGTGAGGGGAGGAAGCGGGAGGCAAGAACGGCCAGGAGTGATGGAGACCTCAGGCAACCAGAGAATGTTGTGAGACACAGACTTTGGAGGCAGGCTTCATTGAGCAGCTTGTTTAAATTGTGGAGAATACAGGCTATTTACACCTTTGGGGAATGGGTAGAGGCTCTCATTGGCTGAGGCTAAGATGCTGGGAAGGCTTTATTTGCATAAGGAGGAATTCTAGATGCTGCTGGATATGACCTTATAAGGAGAGAGGAAGTTTAACCTGGCTGCAACTATGGGACCTCCTCTGGTTGGGACAAAGCTGTGGGGCACAGGACTACATGCCCCTGGACATGCAAGCTTGGGGTAGGGGAGAGAGTGATCTTCACCCCTATGGCTCTCAGGATGAGATGTATGGGGCTGGACACCTCTCCAGCTCTGGACTAGCTCCTCCTGGTTTTACGGCACCCTCACCCCACACATCCCCTTTGTAGATGCAGTGTGACCAGGCAACCTCCTGCCCTGATCACCACTACCTTCCTACCTGCTGCCAGGATGGACTGGTGTCCCTCTGAAACTATAAACCCAAATGCACCCTTTACCCTTAAGACACTTTAGTTTAGTTTAGTTATTATGGCAATAAGAAAGTAACTAAGACAGGACCCGAGTGGGATCAGTGGAACACATCTAGGATATATATCTGAAGCTCTCCCTCTGAGGGGTGCCCTAGACACGGTCACTGCAGCAGTTCCGCGGCCTCTGTGGATGACGATGTGCAACCGAGGCTCGGCAACCTGGAAAGAACTGGCCTCTGCAAGGGAAGAATTACTATAGGAAAGTGGTGCACAGATGCCACCCCACACGACAGCCTTTGGCTTGGCAGGAGAAATGTCAGAAAGGGAGAAGAGATGGAGCCGCTTCCTATCGCTGGCCGGATGCCAGGGAGAGAGACTGCGAGTTAGAACCGAGATAAATAGGTTTCCTGGGAAGCGATGGCTTGGAACCCAGGGAAAGGATGGAGGGGTAAGGAGGAGTGGTGTGTCAATCTTTAATACAGAGAATCTGTGACTCATGATGCAGGCAGAGACCTTAGCTATGACCCAGTACAATAAACAACGGCAATCAGGGACACCTCAGCCTCCAAACTGATGGAGCTGGTTAACATTTATTATTATTTTTGCACATATGTGTAGGTGTGCCATGAGTATGGGGGTGTCTGCAAAGGCCAGAGGAAGATGGTGTTGGACCCCTGTGAGCGACCATATGTGGGCGCTAGGAAGCAAATGGAGAACCTCTGGAAGAAAGGCGAGTTCTCTTTGTGATCCTTTCATCTCTCAAGCCTCAGGGGAAAGACTTTTAAACAAGGAATAAAAGAGCCTCTCTCAGACTGCTGTGTGCAGCCACGGGACAGAGAAGGATGGGGACAATCTGAGCTGGGTGTGAATAAGAAACCATTTCTCCTTGAGCTGAGGTGGCATGCGCTGAGCCAATAGGAGAGAAGCTAGTCCCTGATGGACTGGTTCATATAAGCCAATAGGGACACTGGGTTACATGTGACTAAGGTCTTCCTGGCTAGCAGGGACAGGAGGCTGAGGAGGAGTGACAAGCATTGCTATGGGAACTGGGTATGTGGGGGTGGTGACTAATGGCCAGTTGGTGGCTTTGAGTACCGTGTTTAGCGGAGAGTTACAAGAGAAGTTGATTTACCTAGGGATGGTTATGGGGCTTGAGTCGCTTTGCTGAGCTCCCTGGTAGGACATGACCTTTACAAAGTAAAGGCTCTGGTGAATCTGAATGATTAAGACCAGTGGTTCTCAACCTTCCCAGTGCTATGGCCCTTTAATACGGTTCCTTGTGTTGTGGTGACCCCCAATCACAAGATTATTTTTGTAGCTGCTTCATAACTGCCATTTTGGTACTGTTATGACTATCGTCATGCAGATATCTGTGTTTTCTGATGGTTGTGACTCACAGGTTGAGAACTGCTAACTTAGACCAATCCCATGTAAACTGTTTCTGAAAGGCGTTAAAGCCAAAGACGAGGGGATGAGGGAAGGGGAAAGCAAAAGGACTGTCCAGGTCACTGAAAAGCAAATGTGGTAAGATTTGTGTTGAGCCAAAGGCACTAGGGGAAGACAGAAGGGCAGACTCTATGCCTGAGAGCTTCTAGAAGGATTTATGGGAGAGGAGAAAGCAGGAACAAGTGACAGCGTGGAGTAGGTGAGACAGATAAAATCCAGCAAAGGGTGGGCAATGATCCTTTCAGAATAAGCTGTACCTTCAAGAAGGAACAGTGGGCTGGAGTGGTGGCCTATGCCTGCGGTCCCTGTGTAGCATGCACCATCAGGAGGATGTCACAGTTTTAAAGCTAGGATGGTCTACATATTCTAGCCTGGACTACAAAATGAGATTCTGTATCAAAAACTTCACCCAGATGGGGGTCTTTTCAGTAACCAGTTGTGGCCAACGGATAATGACAACGGAACTGGTACAGAACCTACCAGAGCCTGTCCTTTTAGCATGGACAATGACAACATGATGCCACTCACCCTTAATTACCAGCTCAGTCAAGAGTCACAAGCTAGCCCCAGCAAGCCCATCCTGGGCAGGGAAACACATGGCAGCCTCATGGCGGTGCCCCAGGTTGAGGACATAGAGTGGTTTGTGGAGAATGACTGCGTTCTGGGGGGTAGATGGAGTAGAGTCATGACGTGGTGCCCAATGTCGCTCTTTGGTTTTGTTGTTGTTTGCTTGCTTTGAGGACATAAGTGGTGCAGTGACAAGATCCCACCATGCATCACTGGACCTGGCTAATTTCTCTTGGTGTCCCCCCCAGCTGCTGACCCACACACGCACCGGCACTTGCTTCCAGCAGTGCTGTTTTCAGAATAAGACGGGCTTTCAGCGATCACGCCCATCTTCTATGGGAAAGTCTCACTGTATACAGCCAATCCCGAGTGCCTTACAGATGTGGAAAAGCATCTGGAATAACAGTAACAAGAGTCTAAAGAAAGGCACACTGTCTAGGTGCAAAAAGGCATGCCCAGAAGCCATACGATTATTGACTAATTATCCCAGTGCTGGATAGGCTGCTGGCCAGGGAGGCCCTGTGAGACCCCCCACATCAAATGGTCCATTGTAACTGGTATTGGTTGCATGGCAACATTAGATGGTAAGTCCTTATTGTTGAAGTCACGATATACTTTCATTGAAGCAAGCAAGCTAGAACTCCCTCCTTGTTGGCTGACTTTTTAGAGCTAGAAGGTGCTGTGCAGGCTCTCAAGAGAGAAGTGTCACAATCTTACTCTGTTACAGACTCTATGTGGACTACATACTGAGCAAAAATGTGCCCTCTGGTACAATAGTGGCATAGCTGTTAAAGGCGCCTTTTTTTTTTTTTTAAATCAAATTTAAGGCCCATGCCACAAGGCAGAACTCATATTTGGTACTGTAAGTCGGGGCAAAGCTTTTTGGCTGTGGAGGTCACAGTCCCCAGTAACAAGGCCATAGTGGTTGTTCTGCTTAGCAGATGTGACGTGCCTGTCAAATAACTTCCCATGTATTTATATTCCACGCATAAATTATTGCTGCTGTCAGCGCCAGGCAGGAAAACTTTTTTTTTTTTTTACAGTGGACAGTAATTACTGAAAAGACTCTTGGGTGGAGCTCCAGGAAACTTAGGCAGGAAACTACATCTTCTGTAGTCACGACCCACGCTGGGGTTAAGCCTTTGGATGACATAAATGTTCTTGAGTTATTTATTTCTTTGTCCTGTAAGTAACTCTAAGAAAGTCATTGGCTCACCATGAGAGGCCTGGGTCAATCACGTCTTTGGTTTGTTGCCACTATTCTTCCTTGAGTGAACATGTTTGTTCTTTCCTCCCTCTGCTGACCCCAGAAAAGAGAAAGGGCTCTGCGCGCTGCCATGTTCCTACTCTCTGGCATACAGTAGGGTTGTTTGCTTTTGTGTTGTTGTTTTTGAGATTAGATTTAAAATAGTCCAGGTTGGACTTGAACTCTTGATCTTCCTGCCTCTAGATCCCAAGTGCTGGATTACAGGAGTGCATCGTCACACCTGGCTTTTTGTTTGCTGAATGGAGATATAAATGACCGAGTGGCCAGTCTCTGGTGACAGTCACTGAGCTGACCCTCAGCAAGCACAGATGAAAGACGTGTGCAACATACGGCACTGAAACATTTCAATTCCTAGTCCCTGGTCTTCTGTTAGCCCAGCTGTGTCCCCATCTTATTTCTCCTTGATCCTGTGGGTCACCCCACGATTGCTCTAGCACTGGTCTCTCTCTTTGCTATGGAGATCAAATCAGGAGTTTGTGACGTGCCACTCAAAGTTCTAATACAAATTTCCTTATCTTCACTTACTGGACATACTTTGGGAGAAAGTTGGAAGAGGGATCTTGTTTGCAAAGATCAAGTCAGCAGATGGACTGCCCCGCCCCCACTTGTCTAAGGCAAGAGATCCTGTCCTTTAACTAGAGAAATACTGGGTTCCTACCCAGTATTAACCTGTAGGATAACTCTGGGCAGCCTATGCCTGCCTGGAACACAGCCTTGTCACCTGTTGGGAGGGATGGTGCTGGATCACCAAGGCTCCTTCCATGTTTAACAGTACACAGGAAAGCTTCTGTCCACCCCGGGGTTGGGAGACAAGGCTTTATTTTGTGGTGAAGGCCCATAAGTCTTAGACGTGGTTGTGATTATGACCATGCTGCATTCTGAGACCGTGGAGTCCCCTGATGGGCAGGCTGCACGATATTCAGGCTCCTGAGCAGGCAGCGGGTTGCCAGGGGAGTTTGGTATTCTGGGAAGAAGGGAGGGTGGTGGGCGAGGGTTGGAGAGAACCTGGTACCCCGCTTACACTGTGAATGGCCTGTCCTTCAGTCTGAAGCATTCTGCACTCACTTCTGCAGCCAGATAAGGGACATTTTCTGAGAATCCAGGAAAACCAGGGCCTAGGGACCCTGCAGAGGAGGCCTTGGAGACTTCAGGGCCCGTCACCCCCTGTCCCTCCTGCTGCCCTCTCTGCTTATAGACCCTCTCCCTGGTAACCTGAGGGCTGGCAGGCACTGAATAGTCGACCATACCATTCAAATTTCTAAGGAGGGGGGTGATGGGAGCCCTAGGCCAACAGGCAGTTAGACCTGCTCCTGCCCTGACCAGCGTTTCCCTACGTGAGAGGGTTCCAAGGAGACAAGCTGGAGTGAGCCAGGCGAAGGCCTCCCTCTCTTTCTTTTCCACTCAGTTGCTACCTCTATCCTTCCAATTGTCCCCTCCCCCAGACAGGCCAGGGCTCTCCCAATAAAACCAGGCCCAGGAGGAAAAGCAGGAGGAAAACCAGTCTGCTGCAGGCTCTGCAGCACAACATAGGGTCACAGCTCGCCCACTGGTACACCTTGGATCTCCTGGGACAGCTGAGAGACCTGGCCACTGAGAATACAGACCTCCGAGGGCAGGCCGTGAGGTTGCTGAGGGACTGTAGAACAAACCAATGTAAGAAGTGGGGGAGATCCTTATTGGGAACCTGGGAGGTTGTGAGGGTGTGCTCAGATTCAGGGAGTCCTTCTATTATTCTGAGAAAAGAAATAAGGCCCAGTAAAGGGAAACGGCTAAGCCAAGGCCACACTTTCTCTGTGAGACTCTAAGGAAGTAAGATGCTTTCAGTGTAGAGAGATGCTCTCAGAGGAGGTTGCAGTAGGAAGGGGGCTCCTTGTTTGGGTTTCAGGAGAACTCCCACTGGAATCAGCGGATCTTGCTGGCTGGCAGCAGGGAATCTGGTAGGTAGCTGGCCTTGCCTCAAACTCCTGGGCCTGGTCTCAAGCTCTCCAGTGTCACAGACTGCCCTTAGAGAGTCTCCGGTGTCCATGCAGAAGTGGCCCTGGGGCCTGTAGCCTCACAGCTTTTCTGGATTCTGAGCGGAGATGATGCAGGCTTTAGCTGGGACTGCCCTTTCCTTACTGGGGCCGAGTGTTGAGAGCCAAGGGGACAGCTTTCTCGCCACCGGGGATGGGAATGAGTATACCCCATCCCTGCTCCAACTCAGATGTCAGGAAGGGCTGATCCATGGATGCTGTCCACTCAGAGTGCTTTCCAGGCCCAAGGCCTGGAGGGTGGAGGCCCTCAGCAGTTAGACAGGCATCAGAATTTCCAGCCTGGGGCAGCTGCAAAGGCTGGGAGGGGACAAGGGTTGGGTGGCAGGTGGGTGGAGAACACTGCATGCCCTCAGTAGCTGTCCCCAGGAGCCAGGATTTAGGTCCTGGAGCTGCTGGTGAGTGACTAGGTGAGACAAGGGCCCTAGTGGCTAACTGGGTTGGGTGGCCATGCTCCCTGATTTCCCATAGCTTCAGGGAGGGCCTTGTTGGGACAGAGCCTCCCCTGTGGCCTGGCTAGAATCTGAGGGAGACACAAAGTAAACTGGGAGAGTAGAAGCTGTTCTCTTTCTGTCACAGGTTTAGTATTTGAAAATTCATTTCAAAAATTTTTGGAATCAAGTTCATCTGGCATTTTGTAATGAATAACCTGTTTTTCCTCTGTGCTTCAAATAACATTGAACTGGTTGCCAATGCAACAGCAGGAATGTTTGTCTTTTTAAAAAAAAAAAGCTTGCTTGCCTCAGTGGAGAAGCTGGAAGAGCCTGGGCAAAACTCCTACTCCCCAAGGGCCATCAGCCTAGGCTGTGGGGGGAGCCAGGGCCCCTCTCGGAGCTGCCCATCATACACTGCCCACACCAAGGCTCAGCCACTAGTTGCCCAGTTTAGCTTGGTCCTCTGTCTACTCGGAGCGTCTGTGAAATTCCCCATGCGGGATGGGTCCTCTGCAGGTATAGTGGAAACATCGTCCAGCAGGCAACAATGCTACAGGGCAGGCTTCTGCCTTCACTGTGTCAACTCTTTATGGGTTTTATTCCCAGGTCTGTCTGAGCGACTCACTGGTCTCCGAGAGGGCTGGAGGCTAGAAGGGGGTAGGCATGGGGTTTGGAGTTGAGACATCTGGTCTTGTCCTTTGCTGGCTCGTGTGGCTTGGGTTTGGCCCCTCGTGCGGGGCCTCGGTTTCCCTGGAGGCAGGCTAGACTGCATCAGGAAGTAGCAACGGAAGTACCTTTGGATCCAGGCAGCTGAAATAGGTATGTGGTAGGCGTGGGGGAGTGTGGCCAGCTGGGGCCAGAGCCCTATGTAAAGGGGCTATCAGAGAAGCCAACAGTGAAACATATGTCAAGAGAAGCCAGGCATGCAGCTATCTGGAAATCAATTAATCAGTCAGTCCATCCGTCTGTCCATCCATCTATCCATCCATCCATCCATCCATCCATCCATCCATCCATACATACATACATACATACATACATACATCTCTGAGTCTCTGTTGCTCAGGCTGGTCTCAAATGCAACCAAAGCTAGCCTTGAACTCCTGTCCCCTCCCACCCCCGCGTGCTGTGATTACCTGCATGCACCACTACACCTGGTTTGGAAATCTCATTTCGACTTTAGGCTGCTGTTAGGGGTCCTGCCAGCTCACTCACACACATCTCACACTCTTGACTTGTGCCTGATTCATTAAGTGGCTTACTGACTCTTAGGGCTTTTAGGTTTAAGACTGTCTGCTAATTGCTGAGAACTGATTATAAAATGCCAGAAAGCTTTCTATATCCCGCGTTCTTCACGGCAGAGGGGCAGGGGGATAGCAGAAAGAAGGCCCAGGTACAGAGTCAGCTCTGTCACTAATCAGATATATATGGTGTCTCTCTGTGCTAACCTGTGACAAGCTATCAAGGGAGCATGACTAACTGCTCAGTCCCCATTGGCTTGTTCCAGGTAAGTCTCACTTGTCCCCATCTGGGATGCAGCTGCTCCGCTCTGATTCTCTGTCCTGTCTTTATAGGCACCATGAACACAGAGGGCTCCAGCCTCGCCAGCCCTCCAACCCTCCTTACGACCCCTGCCACTTCTGGGACTTACACCCATGCTGCTGACCCTGTACCAATCCTCATTGCCCTGGCCTGTATTTTTCTACTACTGGCCTCTTGCTTGCTGTTCATGATGCTGTGTAAGCCAACTGCTCTGGACCCCAGCCGCCAAGGGGCCCGGGAATGCATGCCACATCACCCAGTGAGCCCCAGTGAACCCAGGCTCCGGCTCTGGAAGCGCCTGGGCTCACTGCGAAGATCCCTGCACAGCTTCCGACGAGGCAGGCCTTCTATCCAGCAGTGTCCTCTGCCGGGCCTTGATGACCACCGAGGTGACTGGACTGAAGCCACCAAGATGTGACACGGTGCCCATCCACACACAGGCTCACCCAAGACCATCCTGCCTCTGATGGAACCTGGCATCATAGGACAGTGGTACGGATACTCTGGACCCCTAATGCACTGATATTTCCTTGTGTATCTAGTCTTTGTCCTTTCCCAGAAGACTCTGAAGGCCCCTGATTCTCTTGTTAATAGACCTTTGGATCAAAAGATGAATACTCAAAGGTCTCTAGATCTTTCCTCTGGGGCTCTGAGGGATGCTTGCACACCTGCATCTGTGCTAACCCAGGGAAAGGGACCCAGGCATCTCTTTCTTGACCTCCCTGCCCCTTCTGGTGGGTCTTGTTCATTGCCAGCTAGGGTACTGGTAAGGCTCAAATCATGAGCCTGGGAGCACCCTTCAGTGGCTGCCTGTCAGGACAGCTTGGGAAAACCTGAAGATAAATGTTTCCTGTCCGCTGAGTGTGGAAGACCACACCTGTAACCCCACCATGCAACAGGCTGAGGTAGGAGGAATGTCTAAGGCAGCCCGAGCTAAACGTGAAATCACAATCCAAATAAAATCAAAATAAATCAAACAAACAAAAACTAGGCTGTGTTGTCCAAGACTAGGCGGAGGCTGTATCACTGTGGTAAGAGGCTGGCCACTGTCAGCACCAGAGAATGCATGGCAGTGCTATCATGTCTCACCGGGAAAGAGGTGGCCTCCTCTCAGGCAGTGTGGACCAGATCTCCCAGGACAGCTGGAGGATCAAGGCTGGATGGCACTAGCTATGCTCTCTGTGGTGTGGCAACTTCATCGAGTGACAGGAAGCAGGCCCACTCCAGTGTGGCATGGACTCCTGGGAATCCCTTCTTTCACTCTCTCTGGCCAAGGCCTTCCACTTCTTAGACTTGAAGATGGGGCAGAGGGAACCTGAGATGCTTCACTCCTGTCCCAAAGTCAAGTGGTCCAGGAGCTCATCACTGGGCTGCCCTACGCCACCAATAGTCAAGCCACCCAAGTCTTCCCAAGGACTGATCTCTGGTTTTGCTGTCACTTGATCCAGAGCTGTCACTGTCTCCCGTGTCCGCTGGATGTACCTACTCTACAGTGTGCAGTAGGATCTGGGCACTAGCTGCAATGTATATTTCTAGCCTCATCCTGACCAGACACTTCAGGTAACTGAATGATGTTGTCCTACCCGTTTATGGTTTAGGCTTTACTGGCACTAGCATTTTGGGGCCTTCTTTGTTTTACAATAAACTGCCCTCTCTCCCAGAACAGCTCTCGTGTCTAATCTGTACTGGGGAGGCCAGCAGCAAGCAATCTTGTCTGTCTTCTTTCCTATGAGCCTGGGAGCAGCAGGGAGCCAGATCTTGTCCCAGAACTCACTGTGCCCCACTCACCAAGGTAGCAGATATCAGGTGGGAGCTTGACCCACACTGATTTCTCAGTGTCTCCTGTGACAGCCCTAAAGGAAGGTGGCTCTCTAAGCATGCTACGGAGGTAAGGTCACTGTACCTCGATCCTATATCCTTGTGACCTCAGAGAGAGAGGGGTGCATCTTTGCAGGGCACGTCTAGGGCCTGGGAGAGTGTCCTGGGACTCTGAACACCTGAGAGGTGAGGAGAGCAGGGGTGGAGGTGGGGGATGGGGGGTTGTCACTCAGGGACTCCAGGATGTGAACCCAAGTCTTACGTACATAGAAACCAGCATTTCAGGGCTGGGGAGAAAACCAGCTTCCTCCCTAAACTATCTTAGAACAACCTCACATCCCTTTGCTTCTTCAACTCCCTGAAAAGCCTCAGGCTAAAAGGTAGGAATGAGGCTCCCTCATGACCTGCTCTGATGCCTTTATTTGGGTGGGCTACAGTTTCTGGGGTACCTATCAGTGAGCTGAAGGTGGCAGGTACTAAGCAAGGGTGGAGCCCTACTGCCTCATGGTGGTGGTGGGGCTCTAATTCTTTCTTAGCTGAGGCCAGAGGAAGGGACCCATTTCCTCCCTCCCTCTGGAGCCAGCTGCTGGAATCCTGCATGCCTCTGGTCTTCCTGGACTCTATTGAGAATCGGCTTTCTGAGCCTCTCCTGACAATCCACAGTGCTCACACGGGGAGGTAGACACACTCCTACTTCCTACTCTTCCCCGTCCCCCCACCCCCAACCCCAGCTAGGAAACAGGCCGTAGTGGCAGGCTCATCTTTGCTGAGTTGACTCACCCTTGGGGTGAGTTGAAACACTGAGGCTGGTGAAACAGGCCATTCATTCCCTGTCTTCCCTCCCTGCAATTGAGAGCCCCTCCTCCCTCTGTGTGTGTGTGTGTGTGTGTGTGTGTGTGTGTTGCACTTCGTTTTCAGGGTCCTCCCTCTGGGCTTTTTAGCTGTGGCTCCTATGCTGGGCCCAGGAGCCCTTTCTTCTGCCTGCTTTCTTCCAAGAGGGGAGCCCAGCCAAGAAGCCATGAAAGACGCTCTGTTCTGGCCATGCTGGGCCCTGGCTCCCTCTCTCCTTGATTCCTTTCCAGGAAAGAGTTACTTCCCTCTCCCCACTGCTTTGAAAGGCTCTGGGGGAGGCCAAGGTGTGGCAGGGCCCTGTCCTCAGCTAACACAGACTGGGGGCTACTCTTCCCAGAAGGGAGGAGGGACCATTTTTCTTGAAGTACAAGCCACTTCCAGCCCACCCTGGACCCCTGCTGTCCCCACCCCTTATGGCATGATGCTACTGAGCCTGTCCCCTCAGGGCAGAGCAGAGTCCTGCCTGGCCCTAGCCTGCCACCTACCTGTACAATGCTGTGGCCCTCTGGGATGTCTTCTGGGACACTGGCCTCATAGCTGCTTTGCAGAAAGATGGGCCGGTTGTCATTCACATCCAGAACTGTGACAAACACGGTGGCTGTACCTGTGCGTCGCTTGCCTACAGGGCCATTGTCTATGGGAGTGAAGGAGAACAGGCGTTAGAAACTTTGTACTCCCGGCCATCAGCCCGAGTTACACCATCCTACACCAGTCTCAAGGGATGGTGGCTCACTGCCCTTCCAGATCATCAACAACACTAACACAACCCCAGGGCTGACATAATGCCATGGTCAGGCAGAGACTTGTCTGGCTCATTCAGTCTTCACAACAACCTAGAGAAGCAGGCAGGATTCTCCTTCCCGACGACATACAGCTTAAGGCACTAAAGAAGGCGGGGGTGGGGAGGGACGGTCGAATCTTCAGAGCCTATGAACACTATTCATTTCATAAAGGGGCCTTTGGAGACATAATTAAGTTGAAGATCTGGAAGGGAGGTCAGTCCTCTTATCTATTTAACCAGTGATTAAATGACTTAGAAGATACTGTGCTCTGATCACAGCGCGTGCCGTAGCTCCTCGTGGGAAGCCAAGGCAGGAGGATTATTAGAAACAAAGAGAAGGGCAGGTGAGGTAGGGCCATGAACCAAGGACCCCAAGACCACCGGACATAGAGGAGCCAGGAAGGATTCTTCCCAGAGGCTGTGAAGGGACTGTGGCTCTGCCAACACCTAGAATCAGAGGTATCACATCTGTGCTTTTTTATGCCTTGCCCCTAAAGGCAGTGTCTTCCCAGGATGCAGTCAAGATGGGCAGAGGGCAGAGCAGGACAGAGCCAGCCGGGCACGGCTGAGCTGGGAGGGGAGTTGGCATCTCTGGTTCTAGAGATGGCTCTTTCATGCCACCAATGTTGCCTTAGTTTGTCCCAGCAAGTCCAGGACCCACACAGATGATGAGATATAACATAGCCTGCTGTCAGAGGTGAGGGACATGGGTAAGACACCTGGGCCAGCCACCTCAAGGCCAGGTGTTTGCTGTTCCAGTCATAAATGATGAGCAAAATGTGGGCCCAGCGACACCTCGTGTCTCATGTCTCAAGAGACTGAACATCTGAACTTTGGAATAAAGGCTTTAAAAAAATGTTATCCACTAAGTCTTGCTGTTCCTTATTAAGCACTGGGCTGGCCAGATTAGCATGTCTCCAGGATGAACTTGGTCTTCAAACCTAAGGCATGCTGGGACTTAGCAGGAGCCAGCCAGGGTGGACACAAGAACCACAGCCCTACCTGGGCAAGCTGCTGAAAGTCCTCCCCAGAGGGTGACATTCTTCCTCACTTTTGTGTGTCCCAGCCCAGACACTCCCAGGGGGGAAAGGGGTGGTGGGGTTGGCTGGGAGCCAATAGTGACTTCATTTTTTTTCCAGTTGAGCATAAACTGGGGTGCAGGTCACTCACCCCAGGGTGGCCCCTTTTCTAGGCTCCTCTCTGTGGTGATTTGAATAGGGTTGGCCCTCAAAGATCCATGAGTTTCGATACTTGGTCATAGGGAGTGACACTGTTAGGAGGTGTGGCCTTATTAGAGTAGGGGTGGCCTTGTTGGAGAAAGTGTGTTATATAGGCGGGCATTGAGGGCTCCTATGCTCAGGTTCTGCCCAGTGCATGGAATCCAGTCTCCTCCTGGCTGCCTTTTGATCAAGATGTAGAACTCCTGGCTTCTCCAGCACCAAGTCTGCCCGGATGCTGTAAGCCAGCCCCAAGGAAATGTTGTCTTTGTAAGAGTTGCCTTGGTCACGGTGTCTGTTCACAGCAGTAAAACCCTAACTAAGACAGTCCCTCTCATCCCAAGGGCTCTGCCTCTGCTGAGGATGCTGAGCTGGGAGACCTTCATAAAGGATGGGACCAAACCCCTCTTCTGGCTCTAGCTGGGTGATGGCTCCCCAAAACACAGTGTCTTCCCAGGCTGCACTCAGGATGGGCAGAGGGCAGAGCAGGACAGAGCCAACCGGGAACAGCTGAGCTGGGAGGGTGGGGGAGCAGCATAGCTTCTTCCTGCTTACCCAACAACCTCCACAAACACCTCCTGGGAGGGGCTCCTGGGAGGATCAGGAGTCGCTGGGGGTGGGAACACGGGCCTCCTTACACCATTCTTCCCTCCAGAGAAGTGCCCCAGGGGCTTCCTACTGCTTAGGGAGCAAAGACCGAGCTTTTAACTCAAGATTCAGATTTCTGTATCCTTTCCTATCTGATTCTAGCTTGTGCTTCCAGAGCATGCTATACCTTGGGTTACTGGCCAGTGTGTACTGGGAAACACACACACACACACACACACACACACACACGCACCCCTCATACCTTTCTTGCTTACCCATCAGCACATCCTACCTTTCCTGGGAGGATCACACCCAACCCCTCCCCTCCATGCTGAGGCTTGGAATTGCCAATGGTTGGGATACTGTCTTAGTTAGGGTTTTACTGCTGTGAATAGATACCATGAC